AATTAATAATTAATAAAATTAATTAATTGAATACAAAATTGTTCAAATCATGTATTTTAAATAACTACCAAAGAAACAGCAGTATCATATGCCACCACTTGCTTTTTGTAGCAAACAAACCTCACTGAAGCATGGCAATTGTAGGAATTCTAGAAAAGAGAACTTGAAAAGTAATGTTACTGTTTTAGTACGAATTATTTACTATTCAACAAAATACCATATTCCAAGTAATAAAATTGCTTCATGGCATCAATGTGCAAGACAAGGTACTGTTTGCGTAGCAATATTTCTCAGTGTTGTTTGCTCAGAGTTCATTACTTCTAAGACCTAAATGTAACTTTTTAAAAAATAAACTGAACAATAATTCTTAGATTTCTGAATGATATTAGCAAGTTTTCTGTTTCTTTGTATTTCTTCTGACCTCTTTCAAGGTGAGGGAATTTCCTTTGCACTGTTTGATTTGCAATCTTGGAAAACAAAAGTATGGGATTGTAGTATCAGTTTTGTTGGGTGTTATTGTCATATGCCTGCTGGGAGTCTTTCATATTAAATTCCCCAGAAGATATGTTTGGGTTTTTTATTGACCAATCTTATAACTTCTCCACATTCACCCTGCTCAGATATCAGGGTTTAACTAGGTTATGACTTTTTTTTTTTTTCTTTTTTGGTTCCTACAATGTTTTGGTTCCTACAGTGTTTTGGTTAGTGTGTGATTCATTTCTACTGTTTATTAGCTCTACACACAAAAGTAATCAGTATTGTAATTTTAAGGTAAATAGCACACATCCAAGAAGAAATTGAGACTTTTTTTAGGCTGTAATTTACTTATCCTGTTGAAGTACTTTAATGGTTCTAATACTAAAAAAATCAGTTAAACTGTAAAAATACCTGGGTTGTGTGTAATCTTAAATGTTCTGTTTTTTCTTTTTAGGCTTTCAAAATAGACCAAAATCCTTAAAAGTGTTTGTTAATCCAAGCAGCCACAAAAGAGAAGCCACTCGTGTTTATTATGAACAAGTTGCACCTCTTTTTAAGCTTGCTGACATCAAAACTGATGTCACAGGTAAGTTGCTTCAAAAGCATAGTTTAATCCTTTGTGAAACTATAAGCATCCAAGACTTTTTGAATTTACTCCTAATCCTTATTGGCTTTGTCTGCAAGTAGTACATTTGGAACTGTAGTTAATACAAAACAATATATTTTTATTTCATCAAAATTTTTTTAGTAATTCTGTTATTCAATGCATAACTTTTCCCCTATAGCTATCAATACTAGTAATATATTTTGCATATTTTTTAAAAGCAAGCATTCTATAAAAAGAAACAAGCATTTAATGTCTGACAGTCTTGTATGTGCTTCCTAAGAGTTGTTCCTGCATTCTGACAAACACGTCCTTAAATATTACTTCTCTTCTGAGAACATCTATTGGCCTGACATCATAAGAGGGGCTTATCTGAAGGACACATTATTTCTGGATTCTGACTTAGTTTCAGAGATGACCTAGAAGCCTAAGTGATTTAAGTTCTATGATGTCAAGGGCAGTTCTCATGAGGTGCATAGGCACAACTTGGTGAAACATGAAGGTAAAAATTTCATGTTGTAGTGATGCTGCCTTCTGCTCAACAGTGGGTTCCTGATAGCAGGTTTGGATTTAAGGCCCCAATTTCTGCCAGAGTTCTGCTTTATGTCCTGAATTTGCGCTTTGGCTGTTTCATTTGATTGACTTTTTATAAGAAATTGAACAGGGAAACAATGAATTTTTTTAAAGCAATAAAATATTAATGATCTGATCATTACTTCTGCCCCCTTCTGTGAAGAGACCAAAACTTATGCTGCATCAAATTTGGTCCCAAAACCACCCAAGTTTACAGAGAAATGATGTTAGTATTTTCCATTCCAAATATTTTTTCTTAACCCATAGTATTTCAATTGCTTTTAATACACTGCTGATTTTTGATTATGCATTTCATATCCATGTGAAGTGTCAACTCTGGTGCAAGACATTTTAACACCAAAAAGTCTTTTTCTTATGTCTGTTGTAATTGGTCTGCAAAATAATCAGTTCCATCTTAAACAGATTATAAAACAGAGGGCTCATCCTACAGTTGCCCCTTAAACTTCTTGTGGAATTATGACTAGTTCAGGTTGAAGGCCAAAAATCATTCTAAGCAAATCTGATTTAGGCATGAGGATATAATAATGCAATAAGTGTTTGTATATGAGATTTATCTTGCTAATTTTATTAACAGTATCTATGTATTTTTAAATTACTTAGCCCACAATTTAAAGTAAAATCAGTTGAAGATTAAAAACACATGAAAGTAAGTGTGAAAAAGACTCAGTCTGTGTTAGAATCCTGTAGTGATAATTTCTTAACTTCCTGTAATTGACAAGGGAATGCCAGCAGCTTTATATAAGTTTTTACTCTCACAGACATATTTTTCACCTACAAGGCATAGACGATATTGTAAACAGATTACTAATAATGCTGTCTTAGAAATTGAACTTAGCTTTGTTTGATCATGTTTTTTTTAAAAAAGTTTTTGTGGTTTTTTTTTTTTGTCACGCAAACCTTAGTTAGAGATGACTGCCTATGTCATATTGTTAATTTAGTTATTACTTTACTTTAAGCAACTATTTAAGGAAAATTACATTTAAGAAAAAATTATTCCTTGCTACTGGTTAGCATTTCTTTTATCTGTACTGTGAACATAACCTTGTTTGTTAAACCCCGTTAAAGGTAGCATTATCATTAACCTGTATAAGATTACATTTTTAGCTATGTAATGTTACCTGGAACCCCAAAGCTGAACTAAAAAGCCAAATCTGTATCAATAGTTTTTTAGATAAATTCATAGAGTTTAATACAAACTATGGATATAATTTGTAATGGTTCTAAAAACATTTTTCCTAATTGAATCAAAGGAGTTTAAAGTTTCTTTTTTATTATTTTTCTTTTAAATTTTGAAAAGAAACTTCTGGTTTTAGCCAGATAAATGTTTAATGGCTTATTCTTAACATAAGGTTATTTTGGCAACGTCCAAATACTATTGTACTTATTAGCTGCCTAACACTCCTCCTACAGGCAAAATGAGAAAACTGCATTACAGTTTTAAATGCTGGTAGAGAACTAAATAATTAAGAATGATGCTTTTAGGGGGGGGGGGGGGTCGTGGTGTTGGGTGCTGAGTGCAAGTCCTGTCCACTGGTACCATCTTCTAATAAAACTAAGTGCCTCATTTCAAGTAAATTGAACAGGTTTTCCTCTCATAATTATTTTGGATTTTGTGAAGTTGGAGTGTGCATCTTGCTGTTACTGCTTTTTTGAAATGTGGCCAATATTTTCATACATAGTGGTGTACAAAGGTGTATTAGGTAGTAAAGTTGAAGGCTTTTGTACAATTTTTACACTGAAGATAATTTACTTTTAGTCCCTTCACATACACATATTTAAAGCTTAAATTTCATTGTACACGAAAACCGTAAAGCCAGTTTAAACCTCTGAAGTGACTTGTAGCACATACACAATACAAGACTTGCGTGTTACTAAAAAATAAACCCAACAAACTTTGACAGTGGAGTGCTGAAAGACAGAACTCTCCTCATCCAATTTTGTATTTTGGTAGCTGTTGCTTCCTACATGATCAAGCTTGCCAGATCTTATTCTTCGTTGCAACTTCTGTTGGAATAAACTTTTTTTTTTTTTTTTTTTAAGAAGTTTGGAGTGGAGGTATTCTCTCCTACTCATGGATATACAGCAGTCAAAAGACATGTATGTAAACAAGTGAGTTCTGAAATAGCATTTACTTTCTCCAGTTATCTTTAAATTTGGTAGGTTTTTCTGGGTTTTGCCAAATTACTTTGCACACTACAGATGTATTAATTTTAGTGAAATTAACCAAAAGTCTTAAGGGGAGTGGATTGTGTTTTCTGTGTGTGGTTTTTTTGGGTTATTTTTGTTAAATGGAATAAATAAATCTCTGAAGTGCTAAGCACAGTGGAAAGTAGGAATTAGCAAATTTAAACTGAAACAGTACTTTAACTGTAGCTAAGGCTAAGCAATATTTAAAAAATGGTCTTTATACAGTCTTTTAAGAGTTTGGCAATCTTGAGTGCTGCACCTAGGATACAGCTGTTAGGAGAAGAACAGTGACTCTTCTAAAAATCCAGTTCAACAAAAGCTTGCTTCACATTTGGGATACCTACAAGTACTGGCAAATAGTGATAATTTGAGCTAGTGTTTTAGAAATATATTGGTATCGTGCAAAATCTTACACAGACTGAAGAAAAATAAATAAAGGTAATCCCAAGAGACTCCTAGTTTGTCTCACTTCTCTTCCTAGTTTTGACTCTTTTGTTTCCATTTATGCACAACTACAAACTGGATGTTTAGGCAAAAACAGCAGCCTTCTCCACACCCCCATTTTTAGGGCAGAATCACAAAGGAAAAGAGAGTGATTGAGAATTGGACAAATAATGTTGGTTTAAACTTACTATACAGTAAATAACATTAATATTTTTTTCATCCCGTGTCAACACCAGTTAATCTGTTGTTATCATTAGCAGTTTTAATCCTAATGACATTAGTCTGTGACACAAGTGCCAGTAATTTATACATCATATGGAAGTGTCCCACGTTTTGAAGTGTTGAACTAATTATATGTTGCTTTTTCTATACGTAGGAGCTGAATCCTTAGTTTCTTGTTGGCTATGGGAGATAGGGTATTACAATGTATTGGAGTATGTGTGACTGTTCAAATGAGGTACACTGTCAGTGCCCTTCTTTCAGAATGCTATTACTTGAAACTTAATGCATACTGGAATTTACAAGTTGGGAACAAAATGTCCTTGAAAAAGGAAAACTTTTAAAATCATGCATTAGAAATGGTTGAAAAAAGCATTAAATAATATTTTTGTGATAGTATTTTTGCCAAATATGTAATCTGAATCCTTCTCAAACGATGAAAGAAGCTCTTTCTTCATCTTACCAAAATGTATTGTGGGGGGTTTTTTGGGTTTGTGTTTGGTTTTGGTTTTTTGTTCCCGTGAATTGGAACAAGACCAAATATTCAAACATCTAGCTTTTTTCCCAGCTATTAGAATGACTTTTATATGTCCCTCTGGAGGTTGTCAAGCCTACAGAAAACTTTTTAGACATGATCTTTTTATGCCTGTGTTGGATTTTTTCAATTTCTTTCTACTTCATTCATTTTCTATATGTTCTCATGAAGTTTTTCCTGGAAACTTCATCTTTTCATTACCTTTTTGTCACAACGTTTCACAATAGATGCTGTGTACCTCTGTCATTCTCTCATCAAATTTTAAATTTCTTGGAATTATCCCCAATGTTAAGCCTTGCAGTAGTCCTCCTATATAATTTCCAAACTTAAGCTATTAGATGCAAAGAGGATGGAGTCCCCATCAATCTGGCTAACACTAGTAATTTTTACTGCCTTTATTGATTTCTCTGTAGACATGAGTCCTCTTTATTTTCATGTCCTTGTTCTTTGAGTGAATTAATTTTGTAATAGTAAACATAACTTACATACATTATATTAGGAAATCACTGAGCATGTTTTGTTTTACAAAATAAAATCTTATTTACTGTACCATTTTAATTAGACTGTAGTCATAACTTTCTAAATGTCATCATGTTCATTTAAAAAGGCATGTAACCTGGTAACTGTATGTTTTCATGGGAAGAGTTTCTTTCACAGTTAAGCAATGGTAAGATATTTGAACCTTTCTGAATTTTTGCATGATGCACAGTTTTATTGGTCACTTTTTTCACAATCTACAGATAATGATAAAAGGATAGTTCCCACTGGTAAAAGCAAAACTGAGAATGATCGCTTAAATATTGTGCTTTGATCTTCCAGAAGAGGTCCTGCATGAAAGTAGATTCTGTAAATAATTCCTGAAAGCTACTATAGTGATAGGTATTTCTGTAGCAAAATGATAATTCTCTGCCTTTGATTCAATCAAAATAACTCTAGTTTTTAATTAAGAATTTCCAAAACACCAAGCACTAGAGCTTTGCTGATACTGGTTGGGAGATTTTGAAGTTATATGCTGATACACAGTTGTTTAGTGTGAAGTGTAAAAAGTTTTATCACTTTTATTTTGATTTTGTTTTCTTTTCTTTTTTTAAAAGAAGTTATATATACACTTACTATATATACATGCATTCTTGTGTATGTGTGTGTGTATATATATAGGGAGAGACAGGTGTTTTCAGTTCTTTTAAGCAGCATTTGAATAGTCTGTAGAAATACTGTTATAACAGGTACAGATACGGAATGATTGTTTTAGACACCAAGACTAATAATTTTAACAGTGTTTAGAAACACTGGAGAAAAGCCTTGAACTATGCTAGCACCAGGGACAGACAAGCATGAAAGATTAATGTAATTTTGCATATAATGATGCACATTCTTACACAAAAAATCCATCTGCAAGTGTCATGTCAGTCAGCAAAAATCTTTGATGGGTGGCTGCAGCTGGGCTGTCTCTTCTGGCAAAGCTGGCCTAGAAAATGCTAAATGTAGTTATGATGCTTTGTGCCATCTGTAGTATGCCAGTTTATCCTGTCTTCACTGGCATTTACAGTACTATACAGGGTATCAGCAAACACAGAGACATCAATGTAGAGTGACAGATTCATTTCCTCCAGAGGCTATGAACTCTGGTGTATACTTGTGCCACCTTCCTCTGTGTGTTATTTTCTGTTGTCACTGGTATTTGGCTTGATTTCATACTTCTGTGTTTTAAGTCCTCGTATTTTTGATATAGCAATTTGCATATCCTAACACAAAGGCAATTAAATTTGATTGATACTGAAATAATTCAATCTTAACTGTGGATATGCTTACATTTTCCTGAAGTTTACCAACTGTGTCAATGCTAAAACTTGCATTTTGATGCAACAAACATCTTCTCTCAATCTCTGAATTTAAATGCACTAAATAGCCATGTGTCTGATTGCAGCTGAGTTTTAATGTGTCTTGCCTTTTAGCTAGTGTAACTGTAAAACATATATCATCTCATACTTTTAATGCATTTAATGATTTTAAAAAATAAGCTGAATTATGGTATGTTTCTTATGTTAGAAGGGCAACAGTTTAAAAAGCCCTTTTAAATTATCTAATCTGGTGATAATAAAATAATGTTGTTTTCCACAGTAACTGAATATGAAGGACATGCTCTCTCAGTACTTAAAGAATGTAAACTCCAGGCATTTGATGGGTAAGTTGGTTAGTGACAATGAATGGTAGTAAAGCTCTTCACATTAGTTTTTATTTGTATTCCATCCAAAACAATGCTAGTAGGTATTCCATGAATTACCCTGTTTCATGTATATATTAAGCCTGAGAAAATCAGTTCTCATTAGATATTTTGGTTTTTATTACTTAATGACAGTAGGTATGTATTTTAGATTCATAAATGAAGGCAAATAAACATAAAGCTTTCTTAAATATGCTTCATGAAAGCTTCAGTCTCTGTATTTGCAAGAATGATACAAATGCTTTGTATTACACTCGGTCCATTCAAATGGTTCTTAAGGAGAACATTTTATCTAAAAGTAACTTGAATGTTTTTTCCGTTTAATAAAAAAGAAATCATTCAAACTGACTGGAAGATAAGAGTGAAAATGCTTGTTCAATCATTTTTAAAAGACCTTGCTATGTGGATTAATCCTGAAATCTTTGGTATTTTTACATTAATCATTCACTAATAAGATTCATTAAGATATAAGAATAGTTTTGCATGCTGTGGAAGTCTTACAGCATTCTTACAACTCTTATTGGAATATGCAGTGAGCCATACAAGAAGGCTTAAATAGTGTTTTATCGTCTAATCAATTTCTGTTAGTTCTAGAAACTCACAGAGTTAGGTAAGAAAATATACCTGAAAATGTATGTAAGTATTCCAGATTCTGAGGATAATTTCTTTCCAATTAAAACATGCTTTTTTGGGTGCTAGCTGGGGAACCAATTTGTCCTGGGAAGCAGATGTGAAGACAGAGAAGAAAAAGCCTGGGTTGTATCTTCTTGCACAAACCCTTTCTACTCTGAGTCGTATTTGAGTTGTTTAATCTTTGATCATTGGGTAGAGTCGCTGGAGTACTTCTCCTGTAAGACTTCTCTCCAGTAGCCAGAACTAAGGGGAAATAGGAACAGAAGAAGCTGGAAGAAAATAACCCTTAAGTCAATATGATGCTAGGATTTCTGAGGTGAAAAGATCCCTGTCCTTTCTAAGTTAACTGTTTAAGTGTTGGGCTTTTTTCTCATGTGGAAATTAAGTAACTTTTATTATAAGAGTTTATGAGCAGAAATGAAATTTCTGATGTGTTTGAAAAACAAGTTTTATAACTTCTCAAATAACCTGGCCTCCATCTATGTGCTCATTCAATAAAGCACAATACAGAAGAATTTCCTGTTAAATAGCTAACTTGGGATGCTTTCTACAGAGACTGACAGCCTGAGGTCAGAATTCATATTATGTTAAAGGTCTGACACTTTGCAAAAGAAAGCTACAAAACATCACTAATCTCACTCTTCTCCATTGTCTTTAGAGTTGTTCTTGAGAACAGGAAGAGAATATTTGAACTTGGGATTTTCTTTTTTGAATTGTTCAAAGGCTTATGGTGTACTTTTGATTCTGTTCCTGCGAAGTCCTTTGTGACTTCCCTATTGCTGTCTAGCCTAAGAATTTTTGCCATAGATATAAAAATCTTATAGGCCCCCAAAACCACCTCAGTCTTTCGCAAATAAAATTTTAATGACAAATTTTGTTTATTGAAAATTAAACCAGAAAATGTATGGGATCTGGCTTGAATTGAAAATTAACTCCACAACAATGAAATTGTCCTACTAATGAAAAATTACGCTTCTAGCAATTCTAGCAGTCACCTGAAGTAACATCTTCACTGTTTCTATTAAGCCTTGAAAAGTTTTACTTTTCTCCTGAGCAGCATTGCTTGGGACTTGGCAGGCTTCAGTTGTTTCCTCTTTTGCCCTGGCTTCCTGTCCAGTCTTGTTCAAGTCAGATGCTATATCTGTCACTTAGTTCCCTGTTTAGAAAGCAGAATAGCACTTCTTTACCTCTTTTTAGATGTGGAAGGCACTGTATGTGGTGGTAAGAGGTAAGGTAGTTTTTGTGCTATTTCTACACGGCAGAGGTCATGTAGACCTGATCTGCCTTACCCAAGCTCAGAAGCGACTGGAAGGGAGTTATGTGTGGACTGAAGGCCATGCCTGCATGCATTAGTCTGCTGCTCTAACTCAGCTCATGCTTTTCTAGTGTTCCCTGGAACACAAGCCCCCCAAAATCAGAAGAAAATATATCTGTTTTCAAAAGTTTTAATAGCCAGAAGACAATCCACATAAGTCCTTCCAGGTATACAATTTATCAGACTACAAAGATTAACCTGGTTTTGCTGCTGTGGCAGAAACTTTTAAGCCTAGGAATAAACCAATCTAAGCCAAAAATGAGACAAAAGACAGGAAATGACTCCTGACTAAAAGCAGGAAGAGAATGTGCTCCAAACTTCTGCTATATACTTTTTTTTTTTTTAATATGGGCAGCATTTAGCTAGATAGAGGAAATATTCCTAAAAATTTAGAAATTAACAAATAGCTAGGAAATAATAATAGGAACTGAAGAAAAATGTTAAAGGAGCTGAGATAATTTAATTTAAACATTTAGTAACATAATGAGTATTATCTTATAAAGGGCTTACCAGTTTTATGTGGTTGAATTATTGGATATAGTTACACAACTGCATTCATATAGATATATGAAAACAAGATATTTTTAAGTAAGTGCCTCCTAAAGTAAACCTGACATTTATATTGTAAATGCTTGGAGTATACTATTACTATTTTTATCATTAAAATGTATTTTCCTTAAAAATGTTTAACTTTCAGACATTACTAATTTGGAGAATCACTTTAATAGTTACTTAAATAAACAAAAAACAGGAAAAAAAATGTTTGCTGTAACAGAGCTTTTACAGACAAATGCATTCTTCTCTATAGCCACAGCAGGTGGGAGTTTAATTACATGCTCCAGAAGCAGTGATTAAGTACCTTCATGCAAAGGATTGCTGGCACTAGGGTTTTCTACCTTGCTAAATCCCTCAACTGCCTGCATAGTGTGTGGAATTAGCTGTTTTCAAGTATTTTTAATTTTATTGTAATAATTGGTGAGTTGTTATTATAAGGGCAATTAAAAAGCTTTGGAATGCTTGTGTGGGTCAGCACTGAAAGATTTAAAGAACTTTTCCACTGAAGCACTTGAGCATGTGCTTAACTATTCCATCTGATCGGTTCACGTGTGATAAGGCAAGATTTACCTTGTAAGTCATTAAATATATTTACTCCTACTCAGGTAGAAGAAAGCAGAAACAAGGATGCTTTTATCTTTTTAGATAACATTCACTGATCTGACAGTGAAGCCCTAGCTTGTTCTTAAAGAAAGAATGTGTTTTAGCTATTTGAAATATGATTATGTAGATGATGTGTGATAGCTGCCTTCCACTTGGTTGCTCAGCTATGGAAGAGTTTATTTTGAACTGTTTAGCATTTTTGTTTTGTAATAGGGTAGTTTGCGTCGGTGGAGATGGATCTGTCAGTGAAGTTGCTCATGGTCTACTACTTAAAGCCCAGATAGATGCTGGAAAAGACACCGACTATATACCAACACCTGTCAGAGCACCGGTTCCTCTTGGAGTAATACCAGCAGGTGAGACTAAAAGGTACCCTTAGATTTTGTAAGTCATCTGTTTTAAGTCCCTCTGGCATGTTTTACAGTTTTGGCTACTAAAGGCAGTTCTTGGTGCTAAAGCTTCAGTTACTTAAGGGAGCTATTGAATAAATGTCCTAAATTAGTGATTTAGATTGATTACAAATGAATAGATTTTAAATCATTATGATAATTTATAGTAATGGCACAGATGAGCTCTTTGCCTAAAGGAGAAGCCCAGGAAGAAGAAAACTAAAATAATTTTCAGCTGATTAAAGCAAAGATCAAGTTTTGCCCTTATTTGCTGCCAGAAATGGTATCAAATGAAAACTTTGTTTTCTAGAATTTCCTTAATATAAGCCATGCTGTTTCATTTCTCTCTCCAGTTTTCTTAGCAGGATTCTCAGTTACATTCATGCTTAGGTCTATTTTTAAATGGTGTGCCAGGAATACATTTTGTGGATTATATTTAAAAAAAAATACTCTGCACACAAAACTACTTTCTCCCTCCTTTACTTTTACAGACCTGAAAATGTATGCATATCTCTTGAAAAATCATCCTGCTCCTTTATTAACTTGTACTTGCATCTTGTGGTGTGGGGGTTTTTTGTTTGTTTGTTTTGGGGGGTGTGTGTGTCCTTTCTCCTCCCAGTTTTTGTATTTGCCCTTCTCTGAGTATAACTTGGGCCAGGCAGGGAGGCTTAGCTAGAATTTAGTACAGGCAGGGTTGATTCTGGACTGGTATATGAATTGCTCCTCTTTAAAAGAGGAGGGGTATTTTTGCATGGACACTACCCTCTGGTGTGGATGTTCATGTGATTACTTGATGTAATTTCTCAGAGCTTTTTAACTAGTAAGGAAAAAATTCCTGCAGCCAGGTGAACAGCAAATGATTGTTTTCCGTTTGCTACAAAAAAAGGAGCAAGTCTCTTCCAAACCGAGCAAGCAAGTTTTAAGTGCTCTGACTTGTTTTGCACTTCTAAAAGCAGCATTAAGACAGGGACTAGTTGCTTGCAAAAATGCAAGATTACACTAGCTTTTTTCAAGTTTAAAAAACCTTGGAAATGTGTTGGTAAAAGATACAGTAATCTCAAAGACATGAAGTAAATGAATTTTAGTACAGCAGTTGGACCATCACTTGTCAGCTCAGTTGCTGTGAATATCTTGATGGTGTTGAGACGGAATCTCTCCAGCGCTTGACTCCATGCTGTTTGGGCGTGCTTAAGTCGCTGTGCCTCATCATTAGTGCTTACTCTCTTCAGTTTAAGACAAATACGTCATGATCAAAAAGGATTTGTAAACCCAAAAGAATGCTCTACAGCTTGTTACACAGAATGCCGTAGACTTTGTTAAAAGAGGGTGAGAAAAATTTATAGAATGATAGTGCAAGAAAGTCCTTAATAGGTTCTTAAAAATAATCTATAGCTTATTTTATTTCTATATTATTGATATTCCAAAAAGTAGTCAGTGAGGAAATGGATAACTATGATACTTGTGTACATAAAGAAGATGGAACTCAATGGTCAATTAATTTCCTCCCCCCGCCCCAGAAATCCGTTGTACCAAATGCACAGGATTCTCCAGCCAGGTAAAAATAGAAACTGTATTATGGGATAGCATTATTTAAGTTGCTTGAAATCTGGTTTTAGTGTCTATTTTAAGTAGTTAAGACAGCATTTTTGAAGTTTCAGCCAACTCGATGGGAAGGAGCTGCTCTTGAAACAGTTTACCTCCCGAAGAGAAAGGCCCAGAGGGGAGTGCGTTTTTACTAAAATGCTCTACTAAGCTGCCTTATTCTGATCCAAACCGAATGGATGAGATGTGGGGAAGCCTGCAGTTGTACTGCTGGCCATTAGCAAGAGTGTGTGTTGCTATGGGAACTACTGCTAAGAAACTGTACGGAGGGGGAATGGGAGAAAGGGGAGGGGGAACTGGAAGGACATTAAAAAAGCTATCCAGTTGTTACAGAACAAGAGACAATCTATATCTGATGACTGGTCCTAAATGGTTCATTTAAATAAATTCATGATTTCCAATTAATTCAGAAAATAAAACATTACTGAGGGACTGTTAATTTCTGTGATATTTCAGGCAAAGAACCAAAATGTTGATGCAGTTTTCATCAGAATTTTAGCTATGCTTGACTAGGAAGTCATTACATCACATTTATCTGTTTGGATGGGGGAGACATTAACAGCCTTATGAATATTCATGTTGTCTGGTTAATTAAGTTAATTGTACTGCAGAAGTGCTTGCACTTCCAAGGACAATTTTTTTCTCTACAATTTCTGTTTGGTACCTTCATCAGTCATGCTTTACATGACCTGCAGATAGTTTGTCCTTACTGTGATGCTTCTGCACATTTCATAGGAAGGAGGTTGGCGGAGGTTGCTTGTAATGTCAGGAAAATGGGTTAATATTTTGAACAGAATTGCATTTTTTGAATAATAAAATCTTCTTTGTTTCTGTTTAAAAAAATGTTGGTGACAGAGATGCTGGAGTTGTATGGACAAAACCTTTTTACAGTAAATTGAGGAGTTGGAGTGAGATCTAAAAATGTGACTGTTAGTAGTCTGTGAGGGGTGCAAGACCATACATGAGCATCAAAGAAGATTATTAGTCTCTGAAGTAATATGACAGTGTTCAGGGGAACCATCTTGTTATTGGTAAATAATATTCCAAGCTTAAATAGGGGGGAAAAAGTTTTAGATGACTTGGGAAAATGAATAATGGCAGTAAAACCACTATTACTGAATCACCACTTAAATCAGCAAAGCTTATATTCTAATGTTTTTTATATGCTAACTTTCATTGTTTTGGTTCTGTTTATAAGCATGCAGCATCCTGCTTGTATAGGACCTAGGTAATAAGACACATTATTCAGTCATTACTGGGATCAAAATGCTGTTAGGCATGTATTAAAGAGTTTTTTAGAGAAGGTGTTGATACCTGCTACTGCAAAACTGCACACGTTCTACATCTTCAACTTATGGAAGGGTGGATGCATTATTTACGTTTTTGAACACAGCAGAACTTGTTTTATTTTCCCAGGAGTCATGAAAGGGTGGGGTATTGCCTTGTTTACTTCTGGAAATGTTAATGGGCTCCACAGATTTAAGAGAAGGATGCAATTACTTGTGCCTATCCTGTTTAGTAAGAATGAGATTTAACTCTCATTAAAGACAGTATGAAGATTGGTATTGACTTCAGCTGTGGTCATTTGTTATCTTGCTGCCATCTGTACTGATAAATTACTTTTACTTAAGTGAGGAATCCGAGTTTTAAGACATACCAATCCTGATCTTCAGAAGTATATTCTGCCTTGTGCTCTTTTATTAGCTTGATCTTCAGTGACAAAGAAAAACATTTTCTCAGAATAACAACTTCCCCGTTGTCAATTTACAGGAAATAAACATGATTTGCATGGCTTGCAATGATCTGTTCTTTGTCTGTGTGATTTCCTTTGTTTTGGAGAGGTTCCCATAAGAGTTGGAAAAATTTGATTGAAGGAAATATTTGAGTATTTTTGAGCTACTTTAGCTAGCTTCATTGGCTATGAAATTACATTTCTTTTTAGTTGTTCAAAGAATAAAACTGTACATAACCTGATTTCTTCCATGTACCACTGGAGATGTAAACTTCAAAGACTTTTTTTAATCTGTTATCTTAATAGACGTACCTCACTTATTTCCTTCACATAGTAGGAACCTTTACTCACAGCTCCTCTCTCTGATGTTGTGAAGGCTTTCCATGAGGTTCTGAGTATTCTGAATTAGTTTCAGACACTAAGGTGCTCTAAGAATGTAACAGGTATTCTGTGAGGTACTGAGATACAATTCCCAGTTATTTTATAAATTCTTATTCAGAGAAATTATTGAAAAAAATGGATGCACATACTCCTGAATAAGAATGACAAGATGCTGTTAGAGCTTTGTAACTATGTACATCAGCCCTTCCAAATTTAGTATTTTTTTTCTACCACTAACGTGACATCAAAGATTGCAGAGTTTTGGGATGAACATAATTTTTTAGTCTGGTACATGATGCTTTTAAAATGCTTATTTAAATATTGAGTACCTCTTGTTTGAAATGTGATAGGCTTTCCCTTTCCTCTCTTCTCTCCCTCACTTTCGAAAGACAAGTTTAAATGCTTCCATAAAACTTACGGCAAATTTAGCATCCAGAATTGTCTATTGCTGCTGTAACATATTAAATAATTCAAGCAACAAGAAAATGATTTGAAAATCTAACTGAACTCATTCCTTTATGGAATGTTAGGTTCTAAATTGTTCTTTTGTAATTTTTGTTATTTTATTTAAACTGTTATTGAATTATTCATCCCTTAATCAGTGTTATGAAGAAGCTCAATGTTCTGCCTGCTTGGTGTCAGGCCCTGGTTCTTTACTTTTGCAGAAGTGAATCCTATGGCCCTGCTGCTTGGCTAAGAAATGCCAGGGATGTGATCAATAAGAAAAATCAACTCAAAATTAAAACTACACCCATTTAGGAAAGACGCAACCATTCCTTGTTCAGGACTTTTAAAATAAATTGCTGTTTAAAAGTCAGCTGATACACAGATACACAATGTCCTATACATTAAAGCAGAAGGGCAAAATTTACATGTATATCCATGTTTCTTACACAGGTAAAATGACTTGACATATCAATCACCACCAAACATGGGTCTTCAGAACCATGCTTCTTTTACAAACGGATAGCTAGTTTTCCGCTCTCTCTTCCAACTCCATGCTCACATTGTTAGTTCTTGACTTTTTCTTTTTCCATTTACCAGCTGATTTACTACTCATTCCCTTGTTTCAAAGTAAATTAATCTCTTCTATCCAGTGACTAGTAATACAGATGGTTTGACAATGTCCAGGCAATGATAAAGACAAGTTAGATGGGTCAATTTTAATGCACTGAATGCAAGTCAACGATTTGTCGGACACGTGTCAAATTCTACGTTCTCTCTGGTTTTCAGTCATTAATGTGTTCTCATATGTAAAGCTGATGTGCAGTAATTAATTTTATTCACTATTGCTTCTAAGAATCTAAAAAGTAGCCTGCAAGAGGCACAGCAGCTATCTTAGACTAGATCTAGTAGAAATTTGTCTGGGAAATGTACAGTTTTATACTGGCTGGGTATTATATTATTTTTCCAACTTAAAAATATTCCCCAAATATATCTTATTAGATAATCTGCCTTCTAGTACAGTTCCTCAGTACAGCACTTAGGTATGCAAGAAGTGATTTTTAGGGAGACAGTTTAAAGAAAAAAAAAAAAAAAGGCAATTTTTGCAAAGCTTTTTTTTTGTCCCTTCCCCTATTGGTTTTTATGGCGCTTATGAATGAATTTGCAGAGAGGATTTTATAAACCTCTGGAAGTTTTAGTACTTTTAATTTGTACTATTCAGGATTTCTGCTGCTACCAAGACTAAGTAAGTTGTGGGGAGGCTTTCTTTTTTTTGAAAATGCAGTAAATGTCTTGGTTTCTTCATTCAAAAAATGTTATATATATTTTTTCTTGATATTCTGTATCTTTTATTTTTACAATAGTTTGTGTTTGCTTTTACAGGTACTACTAATATTTTGGCCCACACTCTCTATGGTATTAAGCATACAGTGACTGCAGCCTTGCACATTGTAATGGGTAAATATTTTTACATACATTATCAGATTTTAAATAATGAAGCAGCATTTACAAGTTTGCCATAGCCAGTGGTTTAATAAAGGCATACCATTATGCTGTATCACTGTAAATTATATTGTAAGACTTTTAAACCCAAATGATTCTATCCTGATCTATAGTGTACTGGGAAGGTTATTATTCTTTGAGAACAGTTTAGTAGCAAAGGTTGTGGACCTCATCTTCTGCTAACTAAAATCTGCCATGGAATAATGTCTGATTTTTGGCATTCATGCCCTATTACTGATGTTCTTTTAATGCAAAAAGTAACCTTTTCCAGACTTGATTGTGTGAACAGTGTTACTCTGTGTGTTATTATGCAATGATTGGTTGCTTAATCACTTGATTATTTTAATTTAATGTACCTGTTGAAGCCAAGAGGAAAGTATACAATACTTTCAGCTCGAGGAAGTGGTTAGGATTGGACTTTTCAGGAAAGTGTTGTTATTTTTCTGAGAAGGTATCATTCATCTTTTTACCTCTGTGTGCATTTCTTTTAAATACTAACAGTTTCCATAAGAAAGCTTTATTAGTAGAAAAAAAATGTATCACTTGCCATTTGGTCTGCACAATAAATAGGTTTTTGAATATGAAAATGTAATTATGCTAAAAGGAAAAACTAGGTTGCTAGTGCAAACCTGATTTTCAGGTCTCAGAAAACAGCAAATACTTAGCTGAGCAATGTTAATATTCCTCTCAAAGCAATTTTTCTTTAGGATACTTTTTGGTTTTTAAATAAAAAAAAGAGAATAATGGGGAAGGTCCATTCTGAGTATTTTTTAGACCTTACAGTCAGCAGTGGAAGAGCCTTTGTTCTATTTCTTAGACAGTAATACACAAGCCTTTACAGGCAAAATCTAAACCTGTCTTTTTTAATTAGAGGCGCTCAATCTAATAGAAACCACCCAGGTTCTATTACAGAAAAAAAATTATATACCCTGTCTTGAACAGAATTAGATGTCTGAATTCTATAACTGTAAACATAAATACATGTAAAACCTACATTGAAGAGCTCCCGTACCTCCTCCAGTACAATGTTCAGTCATTACAAGTATTTGGTGAAATGGTTGCAAATATTTATGTAGCAATATTACATTTTCTTGATACTAATTGTTGAAAATTTGACTAGAATTAAGAGTCAGACCCTTTGCAGCCTGATGAAGCAGCTGAATTTTCGCCATAACTTTTTTAACATTTTGAAGCATCTGAACGTTGTTCTCTGAAATGACTACTTCTATAGAGTTTTAATTATATCTAGATTGATTCTGGTTTCCATTAGTAAAACCTGACTTCCTAAAGAGAGAAGAGTCTGGAGTTTTCCCCTGCAGCTAAATTAGGTGAAAAAGAAATGGTAAGTTGTATTCAGTTTGAAATATGGATTTTGCTATTTCTGATCTTTATCTTTGAAATTTTAGGACATATTCAACCAGTAGATGTCTGTACTTTCAGTACTCCAAGCAAGCTTTTGCGGTTTGGGTTCTCAGCTATGTTTGGTTTTGGTGCAAGGACTCTAGCTTTGGCTGAAAAACACCGTTGGATGCCCTCCAATCAGCGGAAGGATTTTGCTTTTATCAAAACACTGGCAGATCTCAAGTATGCCATGAGCTGTTATGTTTTTCTAGTATTTCTCATTTTCTTGAGGAAAATGCAATAATTAATGTGGAAAAAATATAGACAACAGTAGTTTAGCTATCTTGACTTCTTAATTGCAGACAAATTTAACTCAGATGTGATGTATATCCCTCTTACAAGGTAAAGAGGAAGTAAATGCTGTATATTCAGCACCTCCTTATAATCATCTTAACTTGGATAAAAGTCTGTCTAGCAGTCAGAATATTGGTTTATATGACAGTAAATATCAATACTTTTCTAGGCCAGAGGAATGTGAATTATCATTTCTACCTCTACACATTCCACAGGAAGACTCTCATGAGAATGACAGGTAAGTAAAACCGAGTCAAACAATTCCAAAGCTACAAAAATATGTGTCTTTGAAGATAAAATTGTATAAATTCTTAATTTTGTTCAAATTTGATCATCAAGTAAAACAATATTTAAAAAAAAAAAAGGTTTATTTTGACAACTGCAAACTTGTACACTTTGTAAAACGTTCCCTATAGAGGGTTTGTTACAAAGCAGTCTTCCACTCAGTATTACTGGTTTGTTCAGTTCTGTTAATCCTTTCTTCCACTGAGATCTTACTTTTTTTTTCTAAAGTAGATGTTTAAATGTGTGAAAATGACTTTAAATTATTTTACCTACATGTTTCCACCCTTTCAGAAAGAAGAAAATTAAAAAAAAAGGTGAGTTTTTGCTTTTATGGTTATTTAAAAATGAGCTGTGGCTGGTTAAACTGGAGTAATACAGAATGACTCTGTTATATTTAGGTAGCAAGGATCAATGGCACAAAATTCAGGGTCACTTCCTGAATGTGAGCATTATGGCAATCCCTTGTCTGTGTTCAATGGCACCAAGAGGCTTGGCACCTGATACGAGGTCAGTAGGGGTTTAGAGAATTAGTCATGTCTATAAATTCTGACATCTTACCTTAAGACCTTGGCTTTTCTGAGAATACGAGCCTGTGTTTAGGTAGTCTAGACCCTCTGGAATGGGGGAGGGAGCATGGACTGCAGCAGACTTGATAATCCCAGGAACTGTAATCAGTTTTTGGATCAGGCAAATAAGGTCAAGCAGTCTAACTAGAATAATGAGTGGATAATTGCTGTGATTAAATTAGTTGGCAAGTCTGACTTAAGTAGTAGTCATCGAGCAGTCATCTGTCATAGGATTTGGCTATATATAGAAACTTCATTCTTGGATTTTATTTTTTCAAATATAAAGGTGCCCCTCATCTTCTGCTTTACAGCCAGCAAAAATGAAGTATGAGTCTTTCTCCTGTTATGAAGAACTGAAATTCACACTTGTCATCTTTTTTTTTTTTTTTTTTTTTTTTTCCCTCCCCCTTCCTTTTTCTTTTCCCCTGAACTTGGGAAATGCAGCATCTACATGTAGGGTTTTGGGAAACAAATGAGTATGTAATCTGGTTGTTGACATTGACTCATTTTGCCTTTAGCTCATTGTTGAGAGCATGCTTTGTGGTGATCAGAACAGTTACCAGGTGATAAATATTTGTACTTGATGTATCCAGTTGATGATTAAGCAGAATAGCAAGTACAAACTTTGTAGTTGTACCTGAAATACAATATGCTCCCTCAAAAAACAATGCAGAAACTCATATATATGTGTGTGTGTATCTATTAAAAAAAGCCCCAACACTCAGAGAAGTTTATGGAATGAGTCTGTTTTGTTTCATTTGATTATCATTAGGTGAAAATAGATGTGCCTTAGAACTGAACAGGTTTTTCTCTTCAAATTACTGGCTGATCTGGTAGAATTTGTCTTCTTGGAAACAATGTAGAAACATTTGTTTTTGATGAAACTCTTATTGAGAAGTTTTTGTTACAGGGGTCCTGCTAAGCCTCATATGCCTCAAGATAGTGCCCTGGTGCTGTCCTCTCTTAGGAACTTACTCTGTTCAGCGTTTAGTGTGTTTTATGCCAGTCAGTAGAAAAATTCTGACAAGAATTGAAGAAATTAGTCTTTTTTAGCTTTGTTTTCTCTTTCCATCTGTTCTGGCACCTGTTTCTCACTGACAGGGAATTTTAGGACAACTCTATGCAATTATTGCAGGTTTGAATGATCCTGTTTCTCCCACAGTGTAGTTGCTCAGTGGATTCCCCCTATCCTTTCATATAAGGACATCCTTTTTTTTTTCGTCTCTTTTAAAAAAATCTTAGGAATGCAGTCAGTTAGTAGGGTAAGAAGAGCAGACTCTTCAGACAGGTGCTTCATAGCATCTTGACTGTCAGGCTTTTTAATATGGGCAACATAAATGTTGCACTAATTGTTAGACACTCAAGACCCATTATGGAAGCATCAGCTGAACTCAGCTAGGTTTTTTCACTCTGCCCATTTTCCCCAAGAGGTTTTTGCCATATGAAGACATTTGAAGTGGAGTGAAAGCTTTGAATGCTGCCTGTAACTCTAGTTATACTAGTCTAAATTTGCAACAACATGTAAAGATACGTTTAACTGTCTGCGCTATTTGAGCCATGTGGGACATTTGTTTCTCACAGTGTAGGTGGTGTGCTTCACTGCAGATTGGACTTTCAAGAGAATTTCAATGAGAATTCTTAGTCACCTCTGAAGATAAAAGGCCATAGTGCCAAATGTGTTGCCCAGTAGCCTGCTGCGCAGCAAATGTGATAAGGAGGCAACTTTTTCAGTTTCACCATCACTGTTTTCTAAATCAGCAAAGTAATGCTATGCAAGGTGACTTGTTTAATGGTTATGTGAAAATTATCTTCCTAGATTGTGCTGTACTGTAATCTGAGAATGTTCCTGATGCAGTCATTCAGTAGCCAGAGAACTATGAGTGGGGAGAGATCTGTGGTGGTAGGATGGAATTAGGTTTTTTTTAAACATTCTTAACATATTTTCCAAGCATACATGCTGAATATGTATGTATGTATGCATATATATTCAAAAGATATGAAATACATCATCTATACTTAAAATACAATCTCAGCAGTCATTGTCGTGTTTATCAGATACTCTTGTTGAACATTGATTTGTCTCTATAACTTAAACGGGACTTACACATGGTTGCATTGGGATTCAGGTTGTTAGCTTCTGTGACAAGGTGCAGTTGCATTAAGGGATCTGTGAATTGATACTAGCTCATTGTCTGACCCAAATTCTCAAAGATGCTAAAATATCAATGGCGACTGGCTCCCTAGGACCATTGAGTATCTGCACTATAGGGCCTCTTCTTGATTAATCTCTAGTATATGACTGTTTTATCTTGTACAAAATCCCCTTCACTTTTTGCCTTTTATGTGCTTTGTGAAACGTGTAAGTAGAACTGTACTGAGAATTGCTAAGAGAGTTCGAATAGCGGTATAGTTGAAGATCAGGATCTATGTTAGGGCAGCATGAGTGTTAATGGAGGAGGTGAAGGAACCCATCTGTGCTGGGTTATAAGATGGGGACGTGCTTGCATGCATCATGGGAATGGTTTCTTGGTAAAGCTCTGCCTCACAACATTTGTGGTAATCCCACTTTGCTGGAGAGAAGAGCGTAAAGATAAATTTGTCATCCCCGATGTTTAAAAATCATCTGTTAAGCAGAAAAGCACTTTTTTAACATTATATGTATTATGTTCAATAAATTCTAGAGATTGATAAGGGAGTACAATTTTACTGTTACAGTGTATGTTATAAATACATAGACGCTCAATAACCTCAATTACCTAGTTTATATTGATGTATAGACTTTTGAAGAGCCTGCTAAACTTCCAAATTAATGAATTCCTTCTGTGAACTAAGTTGGTCTGCTTTTCAGGTTGAACAATGGAAGCATGGCTCTCATTGTTGTACAAAATACTTCTCGAACAGAGTTTATAAAACATCTGAAAAGATATGCCAGCGTAAAAAATCAGGTACTGTTAATTTCTTTCTGGTGATTATAAAAAGAACAGTTAATCGTGAGGTTAGACATGCTGTAAGAGTTAATGTTAGCATCCTCATAAGGAGACTTAGCTTCCTGTCAGAATACATTAGTCCCCTTTTTATCTGATTTTTTTGTTTGTTTGTTTAAATCACTAGACTAATACCGATTAGCCTATTTCAGCCCATCTGTTGTGGTTTAAATTGTATTTGCGTTGTACCATAGTTTTATGGGTGTAAAGCCCTTTCACCACAATAAAGAAAACGCATGCTGTGTTTAAATTCTGTGTAGTACAGAGATCAAGAACACAGACTGGGGGGGGCATCATGCAACTCCGTAAGAAATAGGTAATGCCCATCAGTTTCAGCAGATCGCTGCATGCTCTGCTGGTAGCCATGGGTTATGACCACTGATTTTAACAGGTATGCATTACATCTAGTTATGAATGTTTGCAGAACTGTATTTCAAAATTTTGGTCGTTATTCTGTCTTTGAAGAGAAAAATGAAGCATCCAAACACAGTGCCTTGTTGCTGTCCTAAATACCCAATGCATAGCCTAAGCGTACTGGTACTCATTCAAATGTTTCAAGATTATGCAAAATTGATTTTACAAGAAGGTTTAGGTTTGAATTAGGTAACTGTTCAACAGCCAGGGAGTTTGGGGGACAGGTGGGTGACAGTTCCATGTGACAGCTCTAATAGCTGCATTAGGAAATAGTTTATGCTTTTCAGTTATGCTTTTGGAGGAAGGCTTTGCTTTTGTCTCTGCCTTTGTAGTTAGAAATTAGACGAAGAGATGTGGACCCTCCTTTAAACTTAAGATGACCATTTACTGGAATTCTAACTAGCCTCATTTAGGACAGCATTACTGGTAATAATGAAGAGAGCACAGGAAAAGATCTGCTTGGATTTTCACATTTTCTGAAAGCATGTGCTATTTTGGCATGTGCAAAATATACCACCTCACCTATAAACTGAGCAAGTCCAATATGGGAATGCAAATGGAACACTGCCATTTTTTCTGAGGCACTATTTAGGATAAACATAGCACGTTCATCTATAAATGCTAGCTGAAATATATAATGCCTTGTGTGGTCAAGCCTAGAGTTAAGTGTCCCCATCTACCTAAACCAAACAAACAAAAAACCCAAGCTTTTCTAATTTCAAGTAATCCACTGTGTTGCTAAGTTACCACCTATATCTTTCATCTTCATCTAATATATATCTGTGTTTGGTTTAGTTCAATTTTCCCTTTGTTGAGACCTACACTGTTCAAGAAGTAAAAGTACAACCAAGGCTTAAAAGTGGGCTGGATGCCAAAGAAAATACATATTTGAATGCTGCTTCTGCAGAAGGAAATTACCCTTGGAATATAGATGGAGACTTAATGCAAGAAGCATCAGAAGTTCATGTTCGGTAAGGCTAAGCATTATGTTTATGGACTGTATACCTGTGACAGATTAGTACTGCAATCTTAAATGTACGTAATACAGATGACACCAAAAGCGGGTGTTGTAAATACTGTAAGAACAGTACTTTTGTCTGCTGCACAGTCTGGCCCCTTTGCCATTGTTTGAACCTCTACCCTGTTGCCCTTACCCTTTAGGTAGGTTTGTTATGACCCACTTGGCCTTCCCTTTCTGCTGCTTCCTCAGCTTCTAGTTCCACTTCCTTCTGCCTGTTACTTTACCCTTCTGTTTCTTAGAGGAGAACAGAGGTACATAAAACTCTGTGACTCCTGGGAGGGGCTCCTTTTGCCATAAGGATTCCTGCTTGGAAAGCAGTGTGTGTGTAACCTTAATAAAAGCATGTAGTTGTTCAATTGTGGGAAACTTAGTGCTGCTTCAGAGTAGTCTCCCTATCTAGGATCGAACAAAGACGTAGGGAAATAGGAGGATTATCAGTGGAGTTAAATGGGTGGTGGCTCATTCTTCTGCAATGCACACAGGATTAGTTGAAGGCACAGAGCTCAGAGTAACAGTCTGGTATGTAAAGTAAAAGGCAGATCATGTTATAGGATATATAATGTATACTTCTAAAGATGATCTTATAAAAATTGTCAAAATGTCATTCACCTGATTTTATTTCATATAGCAGTTCAGACATATTTGTTGTCCCCACGCTCCCAACCCCAAAAAGTGGCATACCCATTGCACAAGTTAATGAAATTGATAAAGTTTGATTTCCTCACTTCACAGGGTGCATCCTCAACTTATTAATCTCTACGGAGTGAACACTGATGACCTGGAGAGTTCCCAAGCAACATGCAATTGCATATAGAAGGGACGCACCGCAAGTTCTGTATTAAAGAATCGTTTTCTCACCTCTATGCACAGCTTTCCAAGGTCCCAGTCTTTTACTCACTGAATTCAGCTGGGATGTTTGTAATATTTCTGGTTTTAAATTTTTATCAAAATTTATATGAAGTTATATATTTTTATCAGGTTGTATATACCTGTAAACAAACTGTTAGGCTTAACAAGAAAAAATGAAAACTAATTATATTGATCTGTTATTAATTTGGGGTTTGAGAGATGTCTGTCAGACTAGAAGAAACTTTTTTTTTATTTAAAATTATTCTAGCTTTTGCAATAAATATAGTACGAGATATTTCTAAGTCTACTGCTGCTATCCATGTGTCAGGTAACTCAGTTCAAATCGACCAGAGGTATGGTACTACCTCATGCTGAAGACTGGTCACAAAATATAGATTGACGTTTTTTTTGTTTAAATCAAGTACTTCCATTTCTAGGTATCATTTTTAATGTTGCCTTAATAGATTTGCTTTCAAATAATTTCTAGTCAAACAGTAATACAAAAGAATATGCTGATGTTTTATATGGCTTTTCTTTGTTGAAATGTATTTTAAAGACTACTCTTTGTATAAAATAAATATTTTAAAATATTTCCCTATCCTAGAACTGGAATGATACTCAGCATAGTTTTTGTTGTTGCTGAGAATAAAGTTATAAAAATTTCAGTCAACTCTAAGTTATTATTTACCATAACTTCCTTACAGGGAATATACATAATTCTTATGAGTGTGTGTTCTTTTTGTAACATTAAATATTTAATACAATTATTTGAGATGACAGCAAATTAAGACTATATTCTTTCTGGGAACTGGCCTTCTTGGAGATGATGAAAAGTAGCAGACCAACAAGTTTGTCCACCTGCAGGACCATGGGGATAAGGAAGGTTTTCCTGGTCACTTGTCTATGAATCGTTCAGAAGGTGGCTGACAAATCATGGTATGAAAGCTGCATCGTCTTGTGGCTAGAATGAGTTGCTTTAAGTTCTTTCTTCAGTAAGCAGTCAAATATAATGTGAAATCCAGTCATTTCTGATTTTGTTAAATCAAGGCCCTAAGCCTATAGCTACTATATTTTATTTGATTTTAAATACTACTTGTGAAAACTTCTTACCTGTGATAAATACACAAGACAAAGAAGTACTGCACCTGAAGTACTGCAGATGATTATTTGTCTCCTAAGAACAAGCTGTTACTTGTTGGAAATCTCATGCAGTTTCTACGGGCAAAGCTGGCCAGTAGTAAAGGCCAAATTCATAGACAATCAAAGGCCTGCTTTGCAGGCAATTATTAGAGGAATCTTATAGCTAGTGCTGCTCTTTGCACTGTAGGAGAGTAGGATCAGAGTCACAGCATCCTTTGTGCTGGACAGGGCCCTGTCGGGGCTCTAGCCCAACCTCCTGCTCAGAGCGGGTCCAGCTGTGAGATCTGGTTGCTCAGGGCTTCATCCAGTCTGGCCTCAGAACCTCTGAGGATGGAGATGACATGACCTCACTGCACCCCTGTTCCGATGCCTGGTTGTCATCATGAGGAAAATACTTTTCCTCATGTCTGGTTGGAACATCACATTTTAGTTTACATCTGTGGTCTGAGTCGCAGCAAGTGGTCTCCAGTTAAACTACTGTAATTGATACTATATCACATCAAATATTTTTAGCATCTTAAGACAATTCAACCTAAACTTCCTAAAGTTGTCTAAGAAGGAGACAGGGGGATGGGGAATGGGGGTTGTGGTCAGTTCATCACACATCATCTCTGCTGCTCCTTCCTTCTCAAGGGGAGGACTCCTCACACTCTTCCCTTGCTCCCAGTATGGGGTCTTCCATGAACTTCTCCAACGTGGGTCCCTTTCCACAGGGTGCAGTCCTTTGGGAGCAGACTGCTCCAACGTGGGCTCCTCTCTCTCCATGGGGTCACAGCCTCCTTCGGGCACATCTACCTGCTCGTGTGGGGTCCTCCACGGGCTGCAGGGGCACAGCCTGCCTCACCATGGGCTGCAGGGGAATCTCTGCTCTGATGCCTGGAGAACCTCCTCCCACTCCTTCAGTGACCCTGGTGTCTGCATAGCCATTCCTCTCGCGTATTCTCACTCCTCACTCCAGCTGCAGTTTGTGTCCCCTTGGGTTTTTTTAGTTTGGGGTTTGGTTTTTTTTTTTTTCCCCCTTCTTAAATATGTTATCACAGAGGCACTACCACTGTTGCTGATTGGCTCAGGCTTGGCCAGCAGCAGGCCATCTTGGAGCTGGCTGGCATTGGCTCAATCAGACATAGGGGAAGCTTCTAGCTCTCTTTTAGAGAGAAAATTTACTTTAGAGTGATCCACATCTTTGGCATCAAATGAAGTGAAAGGAAATTACAAAATGGTCCCCAGTACCTTTAGAATCTGTGCACAATGTGGCTTTTATGGCATCAAACACTATTAGCAAAAGTGCTTGTTGAAGGCACTCTGTATCGCTTTTGAGTCTCAGGCTAATTCCCGTATGATGGTGCAGCTTCAAAGTGTATGTACATATTACATTAATTTCTCCTTGCAGTTCAGAAAGACATCAAAGGCATGGCAACAAAGGCCGTATTGTATACTGCTGTTGCAAGGAATTCAGCCACTGAAGAAGCTGTACCTTCTCCAGTTGTACTGGGGAGCAAAGTAACATTCCTCCCCCTGCCCCCGGTTGTACTATTTCACCAAAGCTAGGTGACAGTGCAAACTCACCTAGCTGAAGAAACTTCCTGTAGTAGCAGAGGAGTGGTTTGAACCATATTTCTATTCAGTCATTTGCCTTTCTGCTGCGTGACTTCTGATGATGCCCGTTTGGATGGTATTTATCTGAAAACTTCACAAGAACCCAAGCTAGCTCTCCAACTGACTTCCTTATTAAGTACTTTCAGGTAAAGGATGGTACATCTAAAGATAAAATTTGGCCCAGTAAGGTTGGCATTTGGAGTCTTTTGGATATGTGTTTCTCTGTTTTGTCATCACGTAAGTTTTTTTTTTTTTTTTTTTTTTTCAGGTCCTGGAAGAATGCCAGTACTAAACAGTACTATGCTAAGTACTCTAGAAAATTTTTCAAATAAATACTTGCTCTAAAAAAACCCACATACAAATATTTCGTTGGAGAAGTCCAAAACATGGCAGCAATATCTGAGGAAAGGATGAAACAACTAATTCTGTTATGCCTGAAACACCATGTTAAAGATGGCTACAAATTATGATCTCCAGCACATTACTCTTTCTACAGCTGAGAGAAGACTCTGTGCTGCATCTCTAGGCTACCCCACAGAATTGCCTGCTCTGAATCCACCCTTGACCTTCCAGGTTCTGGCTTGCCTGGGTGTCTAAGTCTCTGCAGTGTTGTGGCTGTGCCTGTGAAATCAAAGCTTACGAGGTTACCTTCAGAAGCCCAAGAGAGCTTCTGAGAGTTGTTTTCTACATCTGTGCGCTCTACTTACGCTGCTTCTAGCGGTTTAAGCTAATTCACCCTTGTAAAACTGCCAAATTGTGATGAGGGAGGATTTCTTCTTGAATGTCTAATCAAAAAATTATTGAAACTTGAAAATGAATAGAATAACTCATGCTAATGTGGTTGAGATTTTATTTGCCAGGATTGGCCAAACATTATGTATTGGGTTTGCACAGCAAGGTTTTGGTAGCAGAGGCGGCTTCTGTGAGAAGCTGCTAGAAGCTTCCCCTATGTCCAACAGAGCCAATGCCAGCCGGCTCCAAGACAGACCCGCCCCTGGCCAATATGGCATTTCAGATATTACTGTGAGACTGTTTTACCATTTTCATAACTACAGTACTCTAATGTGTAGTCCTCCATACAGTTGAAGGAATTACTTGCTTGTAAGAGCAAGTGAGCTCAAGACTAGTTTTCTTGTCACTGATGTTTCTGCCATGAATTAACCTGAATCTTAAATTCTTCATTTTAAAAATCAAACGTTTATTTGCCATCCTTTTTCCCACTTGCAAAGCTCCAGCTGTCTCGTCTGTTCTGGTCTTGAGGGACTGGTTTGTATGGCCTTTTGAAAAAGCCAATCTGAAAAACATAATTTTAGAATCTGTTGTCAGCAAACCTTTGTTATCAAATCTAAACCATAAAAAATGAACTAAAATAAAATGCATATATACAGTGATTACAAACAATGGTATTTGCCATTGCTTTGTCATACCAAGTAATCATTAGTCATCGATGAAAAAAAAAAAGTGGGTTTGCTTTTTCCTTTTACTTTTTGGGAGGCTAATACTCTCCTGCAAGGAGTAAAGATGCATGGGCTTGTGAACTATAACAGTCCACTTAATCCAGGGTTTTTTTAAATCTGAAATGGTAATCAAACTTTTCTGTTAAATTTCTTTCATTTCTACACTTCCCTGGGAAAAACGATGGATGGAAAAAGTCTGCATGTATGTAAAGAAGTTAACAATCTCTTAATCGCTTAAGATGCTACCTTCTTAGTTTTCTTTTTTACCTATGCACAGGATTTTTTTTTTTAGCATATATGTTGCAGTTTAAAATCTTAAACCTTTTATTCTGGCATAAACCTCTGATGATGACTAATAGTCTACAAGTGTCAAGGGACATTAAATGTGGAGCACCAGCCCACAAAAATGATCCATTTGGTATCAGTAAATGATATAAATCATTTGCAAACATGAGATGCCTTATAAAACATGGAAAGGGGTCTTGTGGTGTTGAATAACAGAAGATGTAGAATATGCACAACGTAAAAATGAAGGAAAATGGAGAAGTATTTTGAAAAAATAAGTCGCAGGAGGAATTATATTTCTTTAGAAAGGACAGGTCATAATAAAGTATTATTTATCCTTTAACCGGCATTAACTGATCCAAAGATCTACCAACAGTGTGAATTCCTGACTTGAGAATAACTGAGAAATACGGAAAACCTACCTTCCATAATATAAATGAAAGGAGCAAAAACAAGGTAACACCAACTATTAATCCTATTCCAATAATTAGCACAGTAACACGGTATTTTGGCTTTTGGTGGTGCACTCCTTCCAAATAGACCTGGAAAGCAGAAAATAAGTTTAGTGCTATTTTTTCCCCCTAAAAGACACTAAAACAAACTAGGAAAATTAATTACATTCTGAAGTAA